TCTTCATTACTCATTCAAGCCGTCTCCAAGCATTATCAAATACTACATAGTTTCAGAATAAACGAAAAGTTTTGAAAATTTCTGCACTAAAATAAAAGGGTAGAAAACACATGCTATGCCTGCACACCACATCCTAATCTACACGAGCAATACGTCTTTAAAGAATGTCAAATGATTAGTAAGGCAAGATTTTCCCCTAGAGAAATCATGTTGACTATCCAACAAAATTTTAAAATTTGTTAAATGAACTTCTAAAGATCTCTTAGACAACTTTCAAAATATTTTCTCACTATTAATGTAAGACTAATAAGTCTATAAATGTAATTACCTGGACATTTTTTATCTCCTCCCTTGAAAAGAGGAGTAACATTATGCAACTTTCAATTTTCTGGCACCTGCTCACTATTCAATTACTTACAAAATATAGTATTCAGCAGTATTAAATTTCTTCAAAACTCTTTGGGAAATATTATCTGATGCAGAAGTCTTATCATTCTTTGAATAATCCCCTTTTTATTTTTATTTTTTTCATAACAAGCTTTAACGTGATCCTCTTTTTCGATCATGTTTCAATCTAATATATGCTCAGAATGATGAATGTTACTTTAATCTTTATTCATCAAGCTGAAGAGAAAGTTTCTTGTTTGTTTGTTTGAAGTTAAGCACAAAGCTACACAACGGACTATCTGTGCTCTACCCATCATGGCTATCGAAACCCGCTTTCTAGCGTTGTAAGTCCGCAGACATACCACTGTGTCACTGAAGAGAAAGTAGAATTTAGTAGCAAGGCCAATTATCGTCTCGTTATCATCAGATATGAACTTTCCTTTATCATCCATCAAAGGACCTATTGCCCCATTTTAAAAACGGATACAAGCAGTTTGACGTTCCTGTAGCTGCCGCTTGGTGTCGCAATAATGGTTTTAGAGGAGTATTTTTTGTAGTAGTTGGATCCTATCGAGTGAACGTAGGGTTAATAATAAAAATAATGAATATGTTCATATTAAGCAATAGAACGTAATTAGTGCTACCTTTTTGTTATTTTAAGTTGTACGTCTGTTTTAGTGGTCTGGTTATCACATTTATGTTAATTACACAAATTGGTAAAATTTAAACTTTTCCATGCTACGCACTTCACTGGACTCGTTTTTGTCCCGGAGAATACTACTACTATTGGATTATACAACATATAGGGCGGATTTTACGGTTAAGCCTAACGTTGGAAAAATTATCTACTACTACCAGCGGAAGTTATCAAAATAGGAAAAACGGAACCCTCACTTTTTTAGCGTATTTCATATTCAGGTGTGCAGTATATCGTTTTACTCTTACAATTATTACACAAGTTTCGGAGCGCAATAATACTTAACAGTGTTGATAACTGTAATTGTTTTTTAATTTAAACAAAATTTGTGATTTGCAAAATGTTGACTTTCATTTTATTTTTCGAATAGCTAACACTAGTAGTAGTAACACTAACAGAAAACTAAATTAGTAATACTAATAGTAACACTAGCTAAGTAGCTTACTACTACTACTACTACTAACAGTACTTGTGTATTAGTTAGTTTACACCTAAGGATATATTTACAAACTAGTTAAAATTGACTTGAAATTATAATCAACAGCAGGTTTTACTAACTAATAATGATAATAATAACTGACAATGAACAGTTTGCAGTTATCTTTGGTGAAAGTGTGTATATTATAATAAACATTGGTTATGTAAAATAGGTTTAAAGTTAATGTGCTCAAAATTTCAAATACAGTTTTTAGCAAGTGCCATGTACTGTAGCTAACATAACCTGATGATGACAAAACCTTGTCGAAACATTGTGCATTTGCTGTTATGTTAAACTTATATTAAAGTTTTTCTTCATTACCCATTCAAGCCGTCTCCAGCCATTATTAGTCTCAAAATGGGTTCCTCGTCATCGAATTTAACATAAAATACATTTCCAGTGTCTCGTATACTTGCATCAGTTATCCAGCTGGCACTGTGCATAAAATTGAAAACCAAGATACAAAACCTTTGACTCCAAATAGAAGTCAGTGACCTTTAAGTCTTTTAAACTTTGCAAGTTTCATTCAGTGCATTATTGCCAATGAAAAAGCAAATAAGATTTGGGGTTATATCTACAGGCATTTTAAATACAAATCAGTATTTCTTTGCACAGATCTTTGACTAGGCCTCATTTAGAGTATTGTTTTGTTGGAAAGTGTTCAAAGGAGGTCGAGTAGGAGTAGAATAATTTCGGGGCTGGAGATATATGTAAGATAAGGTTAGAGCCCATAAAATGCTATCTTTAGAAATGGAGGGTTGTGGTTGGAAGTGTTCAAAATTTTGAGGGTAATAGATAGGATTTATACATCTTTTGTATGTTTAATGGTAAGAGTGGTAGGACTTAGAAATATTAACTTAAGATTTGGCAGGATAAAAGGTATTTGCAAATTAGGCAACTTATTTTCCAAACAGTGTGGTTTGCCTGTGGAGTAGATTGCCTTCAGATGTGGTAGACACAAGATTGTGAGAGTTCAAGAGAAGGTTTAATGAGTATTTGGGGAGTCAGAGCTATCATTGCATACTTTATTTGCAAAATTAGTTTTTAAAGGTTTTTTTAGTATTTGTTCTAATGTGCAATTTAACATAAGTTAATTTTTTAATTTATTGCAGTAATGCTGCTATAAGACCATGTATCCATGTGTGGTGCTAAACATAGCAAGGCTTAGCATTTGAAATTCTGTTTTTAGAATAAATCTTAATAAAATAAACTAAAAACTGGCACGATTAGGTGAAGTGTTTGGTTAAAAAGGTTTACACTTAAGTTTTATGATACTTTTTCTTCCCAGTTTAATGGATTTTTCCCTAATGGAATACTTTTTTATATTCTCAAGATTTTCATGCTTTGATCCTCCAGTTCAGTTTAAATGTAGATGATTAATGTAAGTGTAAGAGAGCCTGGACATGTATTTTATGCTAGTTTTGTGACAAACAAGTTGAAAATGTGCTGCGTTTTATTTAGAGCTGGGCAGTCACCTCAATTAATCAATATAATTTTTTATTTGGGAGCATAGATTACATCAACTAATAACTCATTTAACTGAGAATATGATTAAATCAATTTGTGTAATGAAAATAATCAACTAATTGAAATTAGTGCTTGTTTATTAAAACTATCCAAGTAATTGATATATTGCCATTATGATTTTTATTTTATTTTTTATTAATTCAAGGCTGTTCAACTCAACTTTTCAAATACAGTCTTGGTCAATTAGGTTGACCTTTCTAACCACAGTGTAACCATGAAACTATACAAGCTAGAACTTAATGTAGCTAGTGTATCTTCAAGGAATTTGACAAGCTTTTAGTAAACATTACAAATCTTTCATACACAAAAAAATCCAATTTTCACTAGTAACTTGTGTGTGACTTTATGATGCTGCAGTCTAAGAGTAAGGTGGTTTTCACCTTAAAACTAATTATTTATCCTAAACAGGCTTATAATGGTTTACATCTGTTTTTATTTAATTTTATTGTTCTCTGAACCATGTTTAATAATTCTGAGTAACAAAACTATAAACACTCAGAGAGCAAATAGCCCGAGATAAAGTAAAAGTATTGAATTGCATAAGCAGGTCTCATGCATATCTTGCTAAGAAATGTTTTTTTGTTGTTTTTTTCATTTGTTTTCTTATCTAACTTAATAAATTCCTAATTTTAACTTTTTAGCTTTTATAATAATGGATAGAAAATATACATAAAAAAAATTCTGATGTGGTACATTACCTCCTCACACATGTATAGCTATTCTCATTCAGTGCTGCCCTCTATATGCATATATTTTTTCACATACTACAAGTCTTGCACTCCCATATACCCCATGATCAACGTGGTTCAACTGCTTTTTGCATGTAAATCATCATGTTAGAAAGTCAGTTAAATTATAATGGTTATAGGACATTGTATTCTTTGTGGGTATTAGTATTCTGTGTTCTAAATTGAATATTTAAAAATTCAGTAAAATACTAATAAAAACCCCAGCAAAAATTAGGATTAATTTTTTATTGATATTTTCAATCTTCTATCCTAGTAAAAGTTAAATACCTTTAAGTAGTAAATTTCTTGTTTTCAATGTATATTTTTTATTTAGTGATGTAAAAGTAGCTAAAATGTAAAAATTAAAAACTTAAGTTTGATAAAAATGCAAAAAAATTTAATTTCTGTAGGAGGTATGAATGTGAGAAGATTATGCATTATGTAATTCAATACCATACCTTGAGCTATGCATTTGCAGGATGATTTCTAGCTTGTTACTTCGGTTGAGTAATTAGATATGAAGCAAGAGCAACAAACCAATAAAATTAAATAAAAAATATATGTAAATTGTTATAATCCTGAGTCTATATGGGATAAATAATTGTAATTGTTTGTTACAATCTGTGATCATTCTAGAAAGAAAAAAAATGTAATTTAGATATATTTGTAATCTTTCTACGAGTTACAAGGTCGGTCAAATTGACCAAGCTCTACAGTGTAGTGTTATGGTAGAAAAAATAACACCAAAAATATAATTTTGTTAAAAGAAAACTTTTAATATTAATTTAGAAGGTTCTAGAGGTTATGCAATTGAAATTTGAAAATAGTAAAACAAAAAAAAAGTAGTTTTAATCTTAGCATGAAAATCACCTTGCACTCAGACTAGTTCACAGACAAATTTTTAGTAAAAATACTAAACTGAAAATTGATTTTTTGGCATAAAACAGACTTTTAATGTTTACTATCCATGTGCCAAAATTTGTGAAGATACACTTTCTATACATTAATTCCCTCCTATCCTTTCCTTTTTGGGAAGTTAATTAATAAGTTATTTTCAGATATTTCCTAAATTTGTTCCACATCACCTTTAACTCATTGTCCCAACTGAGTATTGATAAATCTTTTCTCATGGCCTGAAAATTAGGAACTAAAATTTCATTTCACCTCAATAAGTGGTAAAACATCAAACCTTATTATGCAATAATCACTCTTCCTCAAATGTTTCCCTGTTTTAATTCTTGTTAATGTTTAACAACAAATCTAAAATGGTACCCCTCTCAATTGGCTATCTGACCCTTTGGTATAGAAAACTATCCTGAATAACATCAAATCTCTTGTGATCAGTGTGTATAACATTAAATTCTCCCATAATTATTGAACCAGTACTCACTCTTATTATTAGCAACCCTGTCATAATTATACAATTTTTCATTTATCCCTTCTGTCTGATTAGACAACCTGCAACAACTATCAAAAACCTGCTAGTCCTAAAACCCCTGATTGTAATCCATGCAGTTACGTCTTCTAGACTACTGTGTTTTATGCTCTAAAGAGATTGCTAACAGGTTGAAGTTCATCATTTTAACAATGGAATGGGTAATTTTCTGAAAAATAATAGAATTAAATTTTTAATACTACTTCCCTTGTGCAGGAATAGCCTTGAATACCAATGATCTCTTGCCATTCCAATATTATGTTGATTTTAAATTACTAACTGATGTATTAATTTTTTATGGTAACATATCAGTTTTAAAGCTTCAAATGTTTTCAGTAAAGAACTACTTTCCATCACCTTTGTTTGTTTTTAAAATCCTGACACTATCCAAAACTGGAATCTAGCTTATTCACATATTTGTACTTGTAACTTGTTTGTTTTAATCATGACTTAAATCATAACTGTATCTATAATACATTATAAAACATACTAGTATTCACCATCATGACTTGATAATCTTAAACTCAGTATGTTTACCACTTCTGACCTTGAAGACTTAGTAATTACTCAGAATTAATAATGATCTATGCCTTGCTGATTTTTAAGTATGGTAAGCCTAGTTAAGAGATTAACTAGGGGGTTGTCCCTTATAACCTTATCCATTTCTCATTCTAATACCATGACCTCTCTCATAGCTGTTTGTCATCCTGCCACCTCCCATTCTTTACCAGTTCCTACTGTTAGGGGTTCAAAATTTAGCCATGTGTCTTGAAGTCATTTTCATTGTCACCAGCAGTTCCTATGACTATCAAGTGGTATCTGGTCCATTGAGGCACGTCTGGCTGATTTTTTCCACTGTGGCATTTATTCATTACTGATTCTTGGGTGCTCTAAGTTTAGCCAGAAGGATTTTTCATCCTCTTCCATTCCCCTCCATTTTTGTCTCATGTACTGATTTCCTTCCCATTAACTCAGGATCCAGTTACCTGCCTAAGTCTGTCCAGGGTTGTTCTGACCTTCTATCACATAGAGCTATCAAGCCTGTCAACAATT